TTACTACGAATAAGTTAATAGAATAATTAGTTAATAATTAAACTCTATGATACAAATTCGCCCCCCCTCCTTTAAATGAGCTTCAGATCCGCTACTGGATTTATGATTATAGTATATTATAATCAATGTTACTATAAGTACTATACCTAGTTAGTAGTTACTACTAATGTGTGCGTAATTTGATTTGACTTGGATACATATATAATAAATGCATACATCTTTTGTAATAAAAATTAGGTTAACTGTTAACTTTAAACTTTTTAAAATGTTTTCCATTAACTTAACTTAACTCAGTTAAAAATTATCATTTACTTGCCCTGCAGGCTTATACAAATGGTATTATACTATCGGTTAACCCATCACTAATAATTACATATCAATTGAGTCCCCAACGGCTATTTGCATATTTTTTTTATTATTGATTGGTATTCGCTACAATAAACCAACTTTTAAAGATGTTCTCTTGCTGTTAGTTTATGATTTTTACCTATATATAAAATAAACTTTTACATAAATTACACAATTTTTTTTTGTTTTCACACAAACCAAATATTTCAAGAAAATAAATGCCGCGAGATTTTTAAACCCTATATTACACGGGTCTTTTGTGCATATTTGTGTGTTGCTTCGGTCTCTAGTACTGTGGTGGATTTGTCGGGGAATGGTAAACTCCTACAAATGTAGTGTTATCTCCTACAAAATATAGTGTTAACTCCTATAAAAGATAGTGTTAACTCCTACAAAAAATTAATACCGCTCGAATTGCTGTAAAAAAATATCAGTCTTGCAATATATTAACACATAAAATAAAAATGGTTTGAAAAATATAATAAAAATGTTAATAATAGGTACAATAATCATTATCATTTACGTTGAAAACAAATTTTTTAAAATATAGTTAATAAAAGTGTTAATAAAATAATAGTCATAATCGTTTAATCCTAAAACAAAAATTATTTGAAAAATATAATAAAACAATAGTCAAAATCACATACGTACAAAAAAAAAATTTGAAAAAAAATAATAAAAAATTCAATAAAACAATACTAATTCATAATCATTTACGTATATTTTTATGACTTTTTTTTATCGTTATTCAAGAATATTCGATGCCATATCGCTGATCTATTTAAAACATTTTGTACTGCAAGGGCCGATATGAACGTATAGGTAGTATAGTATATTATTATAATATGGATATAATCTAACCTTCGAGAATTATCATACAGCGTATAATTATTATTTTCAAGTTATGATAATTTTGAGCTTTTTAACTTTAAAACTGTGAATTTAAGTAATATTACCCTATTTTTTAAAGGGTAAAATTTCTATGAAGGAGATTACAATATCTTTGATTTGCAGGTAAAAATTTTAAAAGGTTATTAGTGTAGGAGTTTACATTTGGCCGATTTGTCGACCACACTAGAATGTTTCTACGGTCGTCGTTCGCAAACTGCCATTGAAGTTTACATTATTATAATATTATGTGTATACAAGCGAATATTATAATATATTATGAGGACGTCACGCCCGCATGTGTTGTCTCCGTCTTACAAATGTACAACATGGAAAAAACTGTTTTGCATGGGACAACTTTTACCTTCCTGCGTTTGTAGTAGTGGCTCCAAGATGTCTGATCAACAGCTTTATCTATGAAACAAAGTGCATATTATATTTTAGATAACATAAATACAATAAAAGTTATTTGCTTCTAAACATTTCGTTTTTTTTTCATTTGCTTAAAAGAAAAAAATTATTGGATTGTGTTATTAAAAAAAAACCATTGACCTATTATAAATGGACTGAGCTTGGAAAGAGAAACCCCTGCACGCTATTGCACAGATAAAGTTTTTCTTTACGTGTTACGAAAATTTGATAGTTCTACGACAAATATGGCGCGAAAACAGTTTTTGCTACATTGAGACAAAATCAGGGTGCTAACGTGAACTTGGCCAACCGAACTGTATGTTTCGTAGTGAGGGTTGTAAAACCATGTTGCAACATTTTTTTTTGCAGTATAGTAAAATGTTGCAATTAGGTAATTTGCAAAAATATGATACCAGTTGGGTGACGATACGATAAATTAGGGGTGCCAACTTCACACACGTCTTATGGATGGAATTCTGCTGTGTGCCTCTGGTCTGAGGTCTGAGAACGCGGTGGAAAAATGTAATATTACCTTTTCCACTTCCTATCGTTATCTTTTTATTTATTTAGTTTTAAGTTTCTTAGTATTTCCGATTTCGAACGACAACATGCAATTTTCATTTCATATCGCAAAGCCGATAATATTATTCGGAGTACTTCGATGTATAAATATCAAATTCCGTACGAGTAGGTAGTTATATTATCAGTACCTAGTTAAAACTAGAGTTTTTAAAATTCGTGAAATTTCCTTTCTAGAAATATTTAATTTCTAATCTAACAAAGAAACTATTTATAACTCATTTACATAATATAATGTAGAAATGTTAAACAAAATATCTATAGTAGGTATGACAAATTTAAACATAGCCTTCTTGCTATCTACAAATTTCAAAACTCATATAAAAATTGTTGATGTGTTTTATCTCTTACTTATTGATTTAGGTAGGTACTTATAATATTATAAATTGTTTTATAATTATTTAAAACTTGTTAAATTTATAAAAGTTAGTTGTGCTGCAAAGTGTTTTAACTTTATAAGTTTATAATTTTAAAAACGAGTAATAAGTATATAACAATATAAGTTATATTACTGTATTACTTTATTGTATACAATTGTTGATTTTTAATCACCTAAAATTCGAGTTTTTCTGATATGGTTTATAAATTATCATACAATTAATACCAAAATAGGAACCATATTTTATACTTATAAAGTTAAACTTTTGGTTGATAACTGATAAGTTATTCACTATCAATGTTTCCTGTGTGTATAGATTATTTGATTCAAGTAGGTACTTGGTCATGAAATATAAAATAATATAGGTACCTAATCATAGTATAGTCTGCAGTGCCGCTCTAACCACCAATAACGCCCTAGGGCAACTATATTTGACGCCCCTCTCCCTCCCACAAAAAAATCTCATCTTCATATTTTTAGCTTATAACTAACCACACACCCTAAATATGTTTAATACTTATTAATTAAAGGTTCCTACTTATTTTTTTATTATTATTATTGGAATCATATTTATTTTGTTTCAATGATTTTTTCGAAGTTGACACCGATTATTTCATTATTCGGGGTACATTACAGAAAGAAAATATATATAACTATTTTCACAAATTAGTGGATTTTATTATTTCTGAGTGCGTTTCTGAGTGTGGTGTGTATAACAGTCAACATTGTAAATTATACAATTGAATATAAGTGAATATAATACACAGAATTCAGTAAAAATACACTAACTCGATTTATTTTAAGAAGTGGGTAAAATTGATAATGAGTTGGTTATAAGTTATAACATAATATACATCTTTGCCTTTGCGTATAATATTTACAGTAGCACAACTCTCCGAAGATGGGGGTTGTTGTCAACTTGTTGATCACTGAGGCCCATAGACTGCAGGGACCCCAGGCCCCAGCCAAACTAATAATTTACTATTTTCGTATTTGAAAACAAATATCAAAATCACATTATTTTAATGTATTTATGTATGAATCAAATTTCACGGTCAGTGTAGATATTTGATGTATTATTGAAATATTATTCTATAAATATAAAATAATGATGACATTTCTCCATATTTTACCTGGAAAATTAAAGGAGGACTATTAAACACAACAATTAAGGACCTCGCTTTGTTTATAATTATTAAAAATGGTTTCTGTAATCCATACTGCGATATTCTTAAATGTGTCGATTAAAAAACCAGAAAAAAAAATCTTTTTCAAGTGAAAAAATTATTTATTGGGTACTACCAAATATATGAATTAGTTTAGTTTATAAGTATATTACTTAAATATTTTAATGATGTGTATTAGGGTGGCCCTTCGTCAAATAGGTGATTTTATTTTATAACATTTTTTTCAGTCTTACCCCCTAATTTGGTTCCAATATATATAAAAACTATGTGTACAAAATTTCATGTCGATAGGTTAAGTTTAACCCGTGCCCCTGGGTCCTTAAAGTTCGAAAGCACTATTTTATTCAAATAACCACGTTTTTTTTTTAATGTTTTATTTATATCTCGTTTCAACTCACTCATATATAAATATGTGTAGGACATTATTTATAGTAAATTAAATTTTCCATAATTCTTGTTCTATATAGTTTTTTGATTAACATAATATTTTTATATATAATTAATTATGAAACATACAAGTTTATAAAATGTATAAAACGTAATTTAATAACGTGACAATTTAACAAGATTACAAAATATCTAGCATCATTATATTATTACATTTGTAACTGATTGAATTTATTATCTGAGATAAGCAAACAGCATTTAATAATTTAATAATTTGATTTGATTATCTTTTTATTATCTTTTAATGATTCGAAACAGTTTTAAAAATAGACTACTCCATAAAACTGATAGTAAATACTAACATATTTGTATGTAATCTGACGGTCGATTAGTATACTGCGGACCACGATAGATAGCAAAACAAAATATTACACATATTTTTTTATCATGGCTTCAACATCTACTTCAAATATTATTCTTCGTGAGCAAGATAAAATTTTTTTAATTGGTAGTACTTGCAACCAAATTATTGGTAGTAAATTACCGTCAAAAAGACAGGCGTTACGTGTACTTTTTTTAATATGCGTAAAGTAAAACTCAACTTACACGAAAGTGCGAAACTTGTTATCCAAGAAATAGTTATATTTTGGCAAAAAGCTCGCATTCCAATAAGACAAGAATACAATAACATTAAGAAGCTGGAATCATTATACGAAGAATGGAGAACCTTATAAAAACATGCAACAAGAAAAACTGAAATAAATAAGAAAAAACAAGAATGTTTTGTGAATGAGTTAGATGACCTTTTTGATATTGCACATATGAATGCATTGGATATTATTAAAATAGAAGTAGATCGACAATTCTTACTATCTCAAAGAGAAAAAGGCAGAATTAGTTGTATGCTTGGTAAAGATAAAAATTTACAAAAAGCTGAAGAAAGAGTAATTACTCGGTTAGAAGCAGTTACAAAACGGAAAAAGAGAGCTTATGGAGAAATTGAACAAGCAAGTAAGACTGTAAATTTCTATCAAACCATTTTAAATTATTCTATAAATTTAATTTATTTTAGGACGTACTGTTGACAGCGAAATAATTTGTTCTACAAGTTCTGATAGCGATTCTGATACTGGTGAAAATATTTCAAACAAATCGTTAGATATTGGTAACACATCCGAATTCCTAGATCTTCATACGTTTCAAAGTAGAGGTAAGAAAAATTTTATAACGCCGAAACTTGCAATCGCATTGGACAGGTGTAAAATAAGTGATCGCGATGCAGTTCATATATTAACAGCTACTGTAGAAGCGTTTGGTATACACGTAAATGATTTAATTTTAAATCGGACATCTATTAACCGAATACGCCAGCGCTTACGTAAGGATAGAGCAGATCAACTTCGAAAAGAATTCAATACATCAGAAGTAGGTCCAGTTGTTGTTCATTGGGATGGTAAGCTACTCCCAGATTTAACAGGTAAAGAGCTTGTTGATCGATTACCAGTTATTGTTTCATATAAAAATTCCGAAAAACTGTTAAGTGTACCTAATCTCATAACTGGAACTGGTCAAAATCAAGCGGAAGCAGTGTTTCAAGCACTTGAAGAATGGGGCCTTATCGATCATGTACAAGCTCTATGTTGCGATACAACAGCTTCGAACACGGGCCGTCTAAAAGGAGCATGTATAATCCTAGAACAACTATTAGAACGTGATATTTTATACTTTCCTTGCAGGCATCACATTTACGAAATTATACTTAGATCGGCATTTGAAGTAAACTTTGTGGTTACGTCTGGTCCAGATATTCAAATTTTTAAACGTTTTCAACAATTTTGGCCAAAAGTTAATATCAATAATTATAATACTGGATTAGAAGATATAATTGTCAGTGAAAAATTAAATGATATAACTAATGTTATGTTATTATTTTACATGGACCAATTACGCAAACTTCACAACAGAGACGACTACAGAGAATTGTTGGAATTAGCTGTAATATTTCTTGGTGGTACCCCTACTCGTGGTATATCTTTTAAGTATCCAGGTGCAATGCACCACGCACGTTGGATGTCTAAGGCCATTTATTCTCTAAAAATATTTATATTTCGTAAGCAATTTAAATTAAAAAAAAATGAAGAAGATTCAATTCGTTCAATTTGTATTTTTCTTATTCGATTGTATATTAAGACATGGTTTTGTGCACCTATTGCCTCTTTAGCTCCATTTCAAGACTTACAATTATTGAAAAGTCTCGTCGATTATGAAAATATACATAAAAAAATTTCTCAATCAACATTAAAAAAACGATGTGGACACTTGTGGTATTTAGCACCTGAAACAGTAGCATTGGCCTTTTTTGATACTAATTTAACAATTGAAACAAAAATTAAAATGGTAGATTCTATAAAACTAAATAATTTAACTTCTGAAATTAATAAACGAATCATTGTTTCACCAAATGAAGTAACTCAAATCATGAAGAAAGAAATATATGATTTTATTTACGTTGAATCTACATCATTTTTTTCACGATTTGGAATATCAACATCATTCTTGGAGCAACATCCATCAATGTGGGATGAAAATGTAGACTTTCAAAAAGGTCTTGAAATTGTAAATACATTTCGTGTTACAAATGATACGGCAGAAAGAGGGGTAAAGCTCATGGAGGAGTATAATAAGGTCTTAACAAAAAATGAAGAGCAAAAACAATACGTGCTTCAAGTTGTCTAAGATTATCGCCGAAAATACCCAAACAGTTTAAAAACTACGGTTTTAAACCCATTTTAATTATTTTTCTTTGTATGCTATAAAATATAAATATTAAACAAATTAATTCATCCATAAAACCAATTAGGCTCTTTTTTAATAACAATTAAATGTATATTATATATAATACCTACGTTTTGTAATAATATTGTTTAAATGTCACATTATTTATAAACTTTTATGTTTCATAATTAATTATATATAAAAATATTATGTTAATCAAAAAACTACATAGAACAAGAATTATGGAAAATTTAATTTAATATAAATAATGTCCTACACATATTTATATATGAGTGAGTTGAAACGAGATATAAATAAAACATTAAAAAAAAAACGTGGTTATTTGAATAAAATAGTGCTTTCGAACTTTAAGGACCCAGGGGCACGGGTTAAACTTAACCTATCGACATGAAATTTTGTACACATAGTTTTTATATATATTGGAACCAAATTAGGGGGTAAGACTGAAAAAAATCCAATATCGTAAAATAAGAGCCACCCTAATGTGTATACATATTTAAAATATATATCTTGTAAATAAATTACTATTGTAGTCTAATAACTTATATGTATTAATATTTTTATTTGTTTTTATAAATATTGAATATATTATTGAAGGTATGTCGCATTAAGATTTAACACATTATTTACATAATTTTATATTTAATAGCATACAATTTGATAGGAACTCATCTTTGATATTACAGCATAAAAAAAAAATAATACCTAAAATAAAAACACCAAATTTTTCTTTTATCATTCATTTTTAGTACGCCCGCCCCCTAAAATCATAATACTTTAGACACCCTAGGGCACTTGCTCCGTTTGCCCCCCCCCCCCCTTGGGGCCGATATGATTGTCTGATAGTCAGTATTTCATAATTTATTATTGGCTGTGGTTTTAATTTAATGTTCCTACATTACTGATCGGCTGTGGCAGTAGAGAAACACCACAGTTTATATAATAATTGTTTTAACTATTAATGTTATAAATAGAGTTAGGATGTTGATGACTTTTGCATTTTTTTCACTTTTATTCTGTACAATGCTATCCTAGCTAAAAATTTGTTTCTCGATGCAGAATATTCTAATTTTATTTTGAATTTTTTTGCATTTTTTGCATTTTTAGCTATAAATACATTTTTTTTTGTTTTTAAACGTCATTTTTCAACATTTTAAAGTCATTTTTTCATCTTTAAGGGCATTTTTTGTACTTTTTATACAATGTGGGGCATTTTTCACAAATTATAGATTTTAGGGCAAATGTTACATCCAAGTTTGGAAACAAATTTAATTTATTTAAAATCTAACTTTGGATTTGGACTATAAGTAAAAAATAATTTTAATATTATTATTGTGGGGTTTTTGTTGTGATTACAAATATTTATTAACTGATCGACGTCGTCGTTATTTGTTCGATAACATCAGACACATATTAATTGTACAGTGCAACAATGCAATATGAATATTATTATAACATCAACATCCTAACACTAATAATGAAAATATTTTTAATACAATTTTTTTTTATTTATATTTTACTTTTTAATTTATTTATAAATTATTTAAATGCTTCTACTATTACACCCATTATTATACTCATATCTCTAATAAAAATTATTATTTACAAATAAGTTTTTTCACTTACTTAATTAGTATTTTAGATAATTTTTAAGGTCATTTTTCGAAGTTTTTAGGGCATTTTTGCATTTTTTTTAGGACATTTTGTGTGTTTTTAGGTCATTGACATCCTAACTCTAGTTAAAAAGAATTTATTAAAGCGTATTTCTGCGTATACTGTTGTAGACGAATTAATCTATGTACTATGTACATAATATTAATCGAACGGTTTGAGGTCGGTATATGAATCGGTAGATATTTATTATTTTGTATCTATTGTTGTAATACCTGTGGAGTGTGATTACTACCATTCATATACATATTATAATTATTCGATAAATTGATAAATAATGTAAATAAATAAATAGATATATAGCTTGCTGTGTTGTAGACAGACCGTATGTTGTGTAAAATAAATTATTTCGAGAAAAATGATTGTATATACAGCATATATGCTGACAAAAAATCATTAGGGATAAAAAAAATGTTACCCCCTCTCGAATAAGTTGTTGGGGCAACACTAAAATCTATACCACGTTCCTTACGAAACATAAACTTTTGGGTTACATCTTATATTCATATTATAACCCCCCTGCATGACAAGCAAACCATTTTCTTTCTTGAAATTGTTTTCGTAGAATAGTCTTGTTGCCAGTGTTGGGTAGTAAATAGTAGTACCGTAGTGCAAATTACAAATTACTCTAACCAGCAGTAATTTCATTACATTTTACTCAATTGTAACAAAATTGCTTTTCAAAAGTAATTACTATAAAGTAACGCACTAACGCGTGAGGTAACGTGAAGTAATAAATAATCAGAGGTATAGGTAATAATATTGTATAAATATACCTAGTTTACAAATAATTAGTAGGTAGTTACCTACTTTTAAAATTTTAAATGGTAATAATGCCATCAAATGAACATAAGTAGGTACTAAGCAATTAGCTGCATTAATTTGTAAAAGCAATTTTAAGCCTTTTCAATAATATTTAACATTATGTTTAAATTAAATGTATTGATAATATTATATTAAATATAATTTATATCTATAAAATATTTTAAGTACCTAGGTAAATATCTCACTTAAAATGAATACCTATTGGCTATTACCTATACCTAATTCTAAATTATATATTAGGTATTATTTTATAGGTACTTACTTGTTGTTAATGTCAACTTTTTTTTCTGCTAGCTTCATTAACTTATTGGTACGGTTTCGTAACCCCGATGACAACATATTTTTTTTCTATTATAACGATAATAATTGACAAGATCTCGGATCAGAATAAAATTATTAATGTTGAGGCATCCCGTTAAAATAAAACCAAAATAAAAATAATATTGACTAAGGACTAAGGTAAATGTACCGTATATTTATTAAAATTATTTATAGAAATCTTTGTTTTGTTGATAAAAATGTACAATAATTAATAATATTGTACCATCATATTATTATTGTATGGTTGATACAGTGAATATGAGATAGTACTTTTTGGTTATCAATAATTTTTTTTCTTCTTATAGATAGAACCTTTTGGTTTTAACACTATTCTCAAGAACCAAATGGTGCTATCTAGATCGCTATCAAATAACAAAAGTGTAAATTTGATCGATTTAGCACCTTTTAGTTCTGGATAACTCCTTAAATAATGTACTTAAAAAGTTGGATGTGAGTTTGGATTATAGACCATTGACCAATAAACCCATTTATATAAAAAAAGTGGATTTTCGAAAAAATCGATTTAGCACCGTTTGGTTCTGAGCCCACGACGAGACAAAAATCACGGCGGCCCTGCATGACAAGCAAACCATTTTCTTTCATGAAATTGTTTTCGTAGAATAGTCTTGTTGCCAGTGTTGGGTAGTAAGTAGTAGTACCGTAGTGCAAATTACAAATTACTCTAACGCAGCGGTAATTTCATTACATTTTACTCAATTGTAACAAAATTGCTTTTCAAAAGTAATTACTATGAAGTAACGCACTAACGCGTTATTTTCCAAGTTATTAAAATATAATAGTTTTGAATGTGTTACAAAAACAAGCCGATAGGATATTCCAGTAAAATTTAAATCAATTATATTTATTTTCGATTCCGATAATAGTTAACAAGTTTATTAAACAGGAATAAATGTTATCACTTTATTAGTAGAAAGAAAAGAGTTTGGTTAAAAGTAAAATTTAATTAAAATTAATTATGATTTACAACTATACAGCCATATATTTGAGATGTTTGTACATTTGTACATAATAGGTCTATTATCACTAGACCTATGATTGTAAGGTAACGGGTCACTTCCCCGTCACCATTTCACCGTCGAACATTTCCCCGTAAACACTTCCCCGTAAGACATTTTCCCGTCTAATACGTTTTACCGTGCGACATTTCCCCGTCCCCGTAATTTGCAAAATATTGGCACATAAAATAATTTGTAAAATGTAATAAAAAATATATAAATAATAATATTAATAATAATAAAAATTTTGAGCAATAATTATAATAAAAATCAATACCTTATTTGTAAATGTTGAGCAATAATTATAATAATACAAATTACGTATACGTTATTACAGGCACATAAAATAATTTGTAAAATGTTGTTTAATAATAATAATAAAAAATATATAAATATATATCTAAGTTAATTTGTCCGTACAAGGTGCAATATAAGCTATATAAACATTTATACTATCTTTATTTGTTATATCTTATATATATCCTTCTTTTGACGGAGAAATGTCCAACGGGGAAAATCGCTGGACGGGGAAATATTGGACGGGGAAACGGTAACGGGGAAATGTATTACGGGGATCTGTCCATGAATCGATTGTAAAATATATACTTAATAATTTGACCATATGAATTGAATATGGTTCAAATAAAATAATAACTGTTATCAATTATAAAAAGAGTAACGTTATTTGTAGCGCACTACTTTATTAGGTAATTAAAAAGTAATGTAACGTGATAAAATTAATTTTAGGTAACGCAAATGTAATTAAAATAAAAATATTTGAAGTAATGAGTAACGTAATTTCATTACCCTTTAAAAGTAATTTACCCAACACTGTTTGTTGCTTAGATCCATGCATAGTGCATAATGCATTTCCTACTTGCTGTGATCGATGAACAAGGCGTGACTAAATATGTGTAGCTCGTGAGGGAAGGCAATTTCAGTCTTTAGTGAAATGTGGCCCTAGGCTCGTCACTGAAATTTCTCATTTCCAGCCCTTGCCACACAATATACTATTGTATTTACCTACAAATAATACCTGAAGTAACTTCAATGACGTTATATACCTATAATTCATTTTTATTATTGTTATTATGACCAATGGCGTCATTTCAGTTTTCATTAGAGGGGGGTAAAGGTTTTGATGGGCCCTAATGGGTAAAAAAA